CTACACAATCGAAAATAAGAATATTACACCATGGAGTCTACAAAGTATGTACTTGTGTAAGAACATGAAAGAGTCTTTGAGATGTCTAGGAAAGGAGGGGAATAAAATTCCTGTCTTATGAATTTCATAATTAGGTCTGAGATCCATGATTTATTTCCCCATGTTTCACACTTTAAGCACGCTCTAGAACACATCTGTTATGCACATGAAGAGAAAAATGCATTGAGTTTTGTTGAGACAAGTTTTCAGAAATATACAGAGATGTTTATAATTAAGTAAAGCTTAAAGTTGACTAAAAAATTGGGGAATTTTTTTAAGCAATTATATGCAACATAAGACATTAGTTTTACATGAACCAAAAACTAAGAATAACAAATTACTGTTAATACATTTTCTTGTTAGAGTAGGAAACTAATGAAACCCAAGGATTCTGTTCAATCAGCAGATGGCAGGCTTTTTTCGATTGGTTGTTTCTAAATGTCAGGACATCTCCATGAAGGATCAGTCAGTTATGTATCATACATGATACACGCTTAGGCAATTATGTATCTTTCAATACATGACTGATGAAGCAGATTTTTTCCTGCAGTAGGTTGCCATTTCTTTCTGCAGTATACCAGTTGACATCCAAGTCTATAAAACCTGGTATGCCCTGCTATTTACCCATAGCTGGAGAGAGAAGAGGAGGATTCATACCTTTCCTAAGGGTATTAGCACATAAGTGAATGTAATGAATTTGACTTGAATTTGAAATCTGCTCTCCGATTCCTCAATCTGAGCCGCTATACATTACTCCACTGTAAGGCAACTGATACCATATAACACAGAACTTTTGCTGCATGATCAAGTCACGGGCAACTAAACTGGTTCCCCACCAGGCTTTTTTTCTGATGTGGTGGATGGTTAGGCATCTAGCAGGACTAAAAAGAAAACTTGCCAAAGGGTGGATGAACCTTCTGATAGGGTGAATGGTCATCTAGCACAATGAGGTAAAATGGACTCCATTTTCATGCATGCAGCCAGTGTAGTAATGACAAACCATCACTGGATGATGGACTTCCTAAAGTGATATCAACAGAGGGCAGAAGTTTTCCATTGATGGAATCAATAGCCACGTTTCCATTACCAAGGCAAGCCTACAAGTTGAAGGATGTTAGCTGTGGTTTGACCTGGAGAAGGATGGGCTCAGCCAGGTCTACTTGCCCAAGACATGCTATGCATGAATGAATAGCTTTCTGGCTTTTAACCAAGATATGTAGAGGGAACTGGTCAGTTGCTGAAGTTCACAGTGACCCTATGACCATACCTGGCTATGCGGCTGATGATGATGTTTCTAAATCTAGAAAATATTTTTTTTAATTGAAAAATCCAAAATCATGAGAAGTTAAGTTACGAAAAAGGCAAAATTATTATTTCTAGCTATCAGCCAAATATTTGAACTTTCCATCAGTCTGGTATGGTATTAAAGAAAACATAGTTTAATAGCAAGGAAAAATCAGTATATAAATAGATCTCACCAAGCTTAGCCAGCCATACAAATTAAGTTGGCAAAGAATATTTGTCTGGTAGAGTGGCTTGATAATCCCTGTTACAGACACCTTTTTGTTCAACACCCACAGACCCAAGTGGGGTTTATATGGCAACTATACTGACCAGACCTTATTTATAGTTTATCAGAAAGAGTGCATAATCTGACATTATCAACAGTTTGAACAAGGCCAAATGCTCGGTCATGATGACTTGTGATTTTGTGCTAATACAGCCATTGATGGTTTTTGAACAGTTGTATACCCAATTTCATTCGTGAGGATTGAGTCAACTAGTAGTAGGTTTTTCAGACACTTCCTAATGATGCTACATGTTGAGGCCATCTTCCCAAGCTAATATTATCAAGTAATCACCTGCTTAACAAATTGACTATGGTGAAATTCAAATCTGGGTTTTATAGTCAGAATTCTAACATTCTAACCATTCAGCCATGTCTCAACTCATCATTATGCTGAAATCTAAATATTTTTGCTGTTAAATTAACCCAATTTCTGATTTACTATCCAGTTACACCGACTCTTTTAATTTAGTTAAACATTTCTATATTAGTACATTAAGCATTTCTAGGTCTGTTTTATTTAGCATGGCTCTGTTTGCTTGCAATTGTACTGTCCCACATTTTTGATACTCTGTTGTCTTTCAAAAAACTTGTCTCACAAATAAAGCCAAGTTATAGACTAATTAACAAACCTTATCTTGCCTGGTAAATAAAAATGTTGTAAATAAATCTTTGATAAAATATTTATATAATCATGAAAACAAACATCAAAATATGAATTATTAATGAAATATTTATCCACTCCACATTTTTCAGAGTTATTTTCATCCTTCATCTTTTTAAATACACACTGAAAACCTCTTGAGCTCATCAATATATTTGTTGAATTATATTGTGGAAAACTGAATATCTGTTCACATAGAACTTAACTGAAATTTTTATATCCTTAATAAAACACGAGAGATTTCTCTTGACCTGTAAATATATACAAAATATACAAACAACAGATGATGAAAGATTGAAATAGAAACTTTATGGAGGTGCACTTTCTTTGAATGCCATTAATAACCAGATGGTCTTTGGTTCATAAAAGTTTCAAAGAGTCTTTGAGCACTCAGAATCAAAAGAAAAAGGAAAAGAAAATATCTATATTTTTGTGCTTCCAATATACAACAAGAAAAAAATTATAGAAAATTTACAAGAAATATTTTCACAAAATAAATGGAATGTCCAATTTCTAGCAAATGCAAAAGACAATAAAATAACTAATAAGGAATGAATAGTGAAAAAGAAAAGAAAAGATTCTCTTGACAGCATACAAAAAAAGAGATCTGTTAAAAAAAAAAAAAATAGATTCTTTCAAATATTTCATTGCAAACATTAAGAAATAAGAAAAAGTTAAAAATGAAATGGTTTTGGTTGGCTTTGAAACCTTTTAAAATAACATTTTCAAACCTTTCAGTAAAAATAAAATCCTAATCCTAGATTTTCTTTTTTTGTATAAATAATGTGTGATTAATACCAAGAAAAGAATTAAATCAATCCTTGTCATTTTATTAAAAACTCATCTGCATGTTATATTCAGATGAACACGAAACATCATCAAATTAACATTAAACATCAGATAACCCTTCTATGTGCAATACTTGCATGAACTACTGACAATTTCTTTCTTCCTGATTTGCAACATAAGATATTTAGACCAAGTGCTTAAATATGCACAGACAAATTTTATAGATTTAATAGTTAAAACATCAAATTCCTTTCAGGTGATAGATAATGGCAACAATAAAAAAAATATCCTCAAAAAGATTCAGGCAAGCTTAAGAAAAAAAAATTAAATTAAGCATAACATTTAAATAAAAATAGAATCCTAATGATTCTTTTATTATATGCTTTATAATGTGACAGGCTTTAGACCAACTCAGCCATGAAGGCTCTCACTGATTGAGCAAAGCTTAATAGTAGCTTGTAAGTACAAATTCTACTCAGATTCTAGAACATTCATATATGTAAAGTTTCATATCTCAGCATAACCAAAGCAGTTTCTAAAGAAGTAATAGATTTTTTATTTATTAATCTGTAGGAGGGTAAATAATTATAAACCCCCTAACATTTATATATACAAAAATACTTGTAAAAATAAGAAACAGTAAGACATGGAAACAACAAAATAAGTATTATTTATTATCTGGTTATTATGTGTTGGTAGGGACATGAGAGAGACAGTAATACTGTGTAAAATTGTGAGTTTGGGATCAAATGTAGATCAAATATGGATCAGAATCTAACAGAATGATAGAATAAAGAATAAGTAATGTGCATACAGTCTTTTTCATATGTTTTTTTTAATTTTTTTTATAGATGTGTGTAATAAGTGTCCAGATAATTTAGTTGGAAAATACAAAAGGTGTCTGAGGTTTTTTTACCTCAATTTTTTGTTGAGTACTAAGAAATAAATGTTACTATTATAGCCTGAAAAGGAAAAGGAGCTGAAATTTTTGTTGATGCATGTGTTGGCAGTCTGTTCATGTAGAGTGCATCACATGTTTATGTGTGTAGAGGAGAAAAGTGGGGCCAATTTTCATTGGTTTAGAAAGAGTGAATTAATGATAATTTATAATTGTTATAAATAAATACACATCTATAAAATAACATACGAGAAAGACTGCATTATTATACAATAGGCCTACCCATAATGCATCACTGCCCAATATATATATATATATATAGTCAAGCTAAAACACAATGCACAAGGCCTGACAATTGCATTTAAGCATGAAACAGATTGTCGTTGCTTGGTGTTGACCTCAATGTCCACTTTTATATTTACATAAGCTCTTTACCTGATATGGAGCACTTTAACTTATAAATATATTATACCTTAAAGCTATATTTAATCATATATATATATATATATATATATATCAAAATTGAAAAAAATTTAAGTAATTAAGAATATAACTGTTTAAATCATTGGAAAATAAAACAAAATTAGCACTTTTTTCTTCTCTGTAACAAGTTGTGTTAGGTAATTACATTAGCTTACTCAGTAACCTGCCTGTTTCCTTATATTGAGGTACTGGGTGGTACACCTGTAAGGTGATGCTGGATTTAGTTGCATACAAAACAGCAGATTGGTAAGAAAAGGACAACAGTAATCTAAACACACCTGGCGTTTCAAGAGGGACAGAACGGAAAGGTGAGCAGTGGGGAATTCTTGGCCAATGACATTAGTAAATGAATGTATTGCTTCTAGTTATTTATTAGTGTTGAAGTCCTGATTGACGATCTGTCATGTTTGACCTGAGTCAGTCCTTGGTGCCATTAAGGAGGATCAAGGGAGGAGTTAATTCTAACAAGGGTCTCAGTTGTTTTTGGTTTTTGGTTATTAAGAGCAAAATAGGATTCCTAATAAAGTGAAAATCCATGTGAATGATATTAACAATACATTTTAAGAGTAAAGGATTTGCAAAAGAGAGACAATGTGGGATAAAAAGAGGATAAAAAGTAAAGAAAAAAACGTAGAGAGAAGGGAAATGAGATTATAAGAAGACACAAAGAGAGGTGAAATGAAGAGGTAGGGAGAATGCATAGAGAGGTGAAATGAAGATGTAGGGAGAATGCAAAGAGAGGTGAAATGAAGATGTAGGGAGAATGCAAAGAGAGGTGAAATGAAGAGGTAGAGGGAATGCAAAGAGAGGTGAAATGAAGAAGTAGGGGGAATGCATAGAGAGGTGAAATGAAGATGTAGGGAGAATGCAAAGAGAGGTGAAATGAAGAGGTAGGGAGAATGCAAAGAGAGGTGAAATGAAGAGGTAGGGAGAATGCAAAGAGAGGTGAAATGAAGAGGTAGAGAGAATGCAAAGAGAGGTGAAACAAAAAATATGATGGCAAAAAGATAGGTAAAAGAAAATAGTACAGTGATAAGTAAAAAAGGTAAAATAGGTAAAAAAAGAAACAATAAGAATGGTAAATGAGGAAAGGAAGAATAAACTGACAAATGAATGTTAAGGAAAAGAAAAGTTTCTTCAAAAAGAAATCAATTTGAATATTTGAAATTCATTTTGGGAATAAGTGAAAATGAAAAGTAAATTTACTCACTTCATTTTATCAGTATTTCATGCCTTAAAAATTACTTACCTGAAAAAAAGAAGACACAGTATTAGAACATTTGAAATATAACAGTTGGAATGAAAAAAATGTTTATTTTAAAGTTTCAAGGATTTCATGCAAACATAATATTTTGTATATTTTAATCTCCTTATTTTGCCATTAAGAAAAACAAAAGTTATACATATTTGGTAGGCAAACTTTACAATCAGTTTGAAAATTAAACAAATGATATGGAAAAAAAATTAAAAATATTATGCAAAATGTCTTGCAATGTTTATTTTCATCAAACAAAATAAAAAAAATAAAAAAACAAAAATAAAAAATAAATTGCTTGCATTGTCAAGGATGGAGACTTGATTGATTTGTTTTTTGATTTTTTTTTCATGGCTTATCAAACTTTTGTTGGTTATTTAAAGCCTGAAAATATATTTTTAGATTTTAAGAATGTTTTGGAGATAATGATTTACTGATACAAGTCCTACTAATTAAGCCATAGCTGGGGGATAAGACATAGATTCATACCTTTCTCAAGGGTATTTGTACATAAGCAAAAATAATGAACTTGGCTGGAATTGGAACTTGGCTCTCTGATATACAATTCTGATCCATTATTCATTACACCACCTGCATATCAAAATTTACAGCATTCTTACATTAGCCTTGATAAAGTCCATCAAAGGATTAAACATGTTGGCTAAGATAAGATTTCCTGATATATATATTTATAATTATTTTTAAAATATATATATATATATATATATATATATATATATATATATAATTAAATTATTGATATATATATATATATTTATAATCATTTTTAAAAATAATAATTTAAGTACTACATTCGTATGGAACACAGTTAAAAAAAAAAAAAAAAGTACTAAAGAACTCCAGATTATTTACCAAAGATGTTCTTTCCTATTTTTCTATATATTTTCACACACACACACACACACATTATATATATATATATATATATATATATATATATATATATATATATATATATAATAAATCCTAAGGAGCCAGGCAAACCTACCTAAGATTTGACCTAAACAGATCTTCAGGGTAAACTGAAGCAAGTACTACTACAGACGTCTAGCCACACTGATGAGCTGTGATACAGTGAAACAGTCTGTCCATAGATGACAATATATATGCTCCTGAAAAATTTTTTTTCGGTTGAGCTCTCTGGGGAGGAAGTGTGGGTTTGTAAACAGTGACTATTACGGCTAATAAGGCAAGACTCTTCAGTAATTGAGTTCTCTCAGTCACTGTGTTCATCTAAAAATAAATATGCTTAAATTCACCTTCATCCCTGCCGTGCACCATTGGCTTAGTGGTAGAAACCTGACTGATGCTAATTCAGTCAGGTTTCGATGCTAGCTAGAGGCAACCGAACATCTAGCCATACTTATGAGCTGTGATACTGTGAAACAGTCTGTCTGTGGATGACCCTATATATATATATATATATATATATATATATATATATAAAGTTTATACTGAAAGTTTGATGATTAAGATAACTTAGGGAAAATAGAATGGCAGTACCCTTAATATGTGTTTCAATTGACTAAAGACGAAATGTACAGAGAACATAACTGGGTAAGAGTAAATGACTACAATACATGTATTGGATCCAAAATAAAAAGTACACCAACAGGCCACCAATCTGACTATATCCTCTGTGGGCATTAATGCATACCTCTACTCTTACATGCATATAATTGTGTAGAATGTAGATACAATTCAGTGATACATCATTCTATGCCGCTTGCAAATGTTGACAATACAGTAAAGGTTGTAGGTGTGACTTCATTGCGATACTGCCAGTCTGAGTGTAAATATTATCAAAGTGATCATCAAACAGAAGCTTAGTGATGCAAAATAGAATTTTATACAGGATAAAAGGCTTAATATTTGGTGATGAAAGTGAAGAATATTTATATACATATTTTAATATATAAGTCATTTCTTTTCAGTGAACATAATTGTTATGGTCCAATATCCTCGCACCACAGTTATGGTCCAAGGTTAGAACCAAGGAAGAACAACATGAACACAAGAGTAGAATAACAAAGATATATTACAACAGAAATATAGTACAAGAACTTGAAGGTGTTAGTAATGACTGTCTGGTTTAGAGTGAACTAATATTGTCTCGACTCGTTACATCATTATATCTTTTGAGAGGCGCAGTATTTATAGTGTCAGGAAGAGTCCATTATCGTTATAGGTAAGTTCCCATAACAATAATTTATTTTGATAAAATCCAAAGACAAATCTGCAATGTTATTGGTCCTCAACTTTCCCAGCACCATAATGTAGCTTTCCTGTGCCTTTTTATAAATATTCTCATGGTAATTTTCTGAAGAACTTGCCTTTTTGGTACCTTGATTTTATGAATTTAAGTGCAGTACTAGATTGGCAGCTAGGTCTCATCATTTTACAGTTGAAATTGCTAGATGTAACGATGTTCTATGCTAAAAGTTTCTTCTCTCACATTCCTTGCTTGTGGAAACCTCTTCTGGCTTCTTGCTTTCCAGTCAACTCTGATCTTCAAAAAATTAAATGCAATGTCAATCATTATCATCTGTCTTAATTCTGGTTCTTGCTCCTTAATAATGTTTTTCTTTTTCTCATGTTCTTTTACACTCAGTAATCCCATGCATTTTAGTGGCTTTCTTGCCTTGTTTGGGGTGAAATTATTAAAAAAATGAGTGGAAAAATTCAACATCTAGTGAAGTTAAAATGCCATTGTTATCTTTTTATATTATTTTCATTTCTTGGTTGTTAACTTATCAAGAAGGTGATCATGGACAGTTCCTTAAGAATAAGGGATATAAGTTTAAATCTCAATGGAAGCCTAATTTATTTTCAATCTATTCTGTTTGTATAATAGAATAAATGAAAAAACCACCTCAGTTTCAATAAAGGGCAACAATGTAACATGAAAAACAAAAATTATTGACAAAAATTAAGTCATAATGACAATGCTTTCTGTAAGAAATTCAGACAAATTAAGACAAGTAAATTTAATTAATATTTTCCTTGAAGCATTTAAAAAATAATTTAAAAAGAAATATAAATAGAAGAGAGAAAATCTTTTTCTTTCATCACAATGGAATGAATCTATCATTGTATTTTTGATTTTTCACTTGTAAACAGGAGAAAAAAATTAAAGTTTTAGAGAAATATTTAGCTACTGGTTCTCTCCCAACAGGGTGATAACTTAATCTTGGCCTTGTGCCACATCTAAGCTGTGTAAATCATTATGCATCTAACAATTCCTTAGACACACTGAAAAAGTTAAAAAAAATTTTTTGTTGAATGAATAAACTAAAATATTTTGTACTAAACTTTAACATTTAGAGTTTATTGAAATTGTCAATTAACACGAAGCAAAGAAACCCACAGCTAAACTCATTGTCACCAAACAGTTCTTATTAGATGAGGGGGTTGTGTGTTGAACAAAAACTAAAAATGGTGAGAAGATAGACAAACAATAGAGTGAACCATAACAAAATAGAAATCTTTAGTCTATGAGGAACATTTTTCATATAGAGAAAATATCAAAAATGTTTTTAAGAGTCTCTGTAAATAATGAAGGAAAATTTGAACTTTACTCTGTTGGTGAATTAGTGAATAAGTGACATGTAATGTTTATGCCATGTGTGTCTATTGCATAGAGCACAAAGTTTAGCACCCTTTCTTGATGTTGGCCCACAGTGAGAGAAAGCTAGCCTCTTACAATTCACAACACACATATTCTCCCTTTTTCATGCATGCCCAAAAGCTTAAGATGGATCAGTGCTCCTGATAGGGTTTTCTATGCATGCAAGTCAAAAAGTAGGCTAAAAAATAATCGGAAATGTTTAATAATTTATTGTAATATTCTTTTTATTCATTAGCCATTTGCTATGATTTTAATAAAGTTCCTTTCTGGCAAATTTACCTTTATTTATTTTCTCTTCTTCCCAAACCCATAACATGGAGTTTAATCACTTATTAAATTAAAATGTATGATTTATCAGAAAATTAATATAGAACTTTCACAGAATTTTCATGGGTACTTTCAGTATGATTATTTTTATTACAATCTTCTAACCTCTTAATAATTTTAATGGCCAAAACTAAAATATATAAGACTTTATTCCTGATATACAGAAGATAAAAGACAAATTTTACAGAGTTGAAAAAGGAGTAGAAACAAATTTCAGAGATAACAAATATCTTTCAGTTTAAGCTCAAAGATAAAAAGAAGAGATCTTGCAGACTGTAATATTTTGTGTTAGTTTTGGCTGTCATTCAACTTGGAAAAGGTTTCATTGATTCTCATACTATGTCTCAGTTGGCTAAATCAAGACATTATCAACACTGCATTGTTGATACTTGAATCAACAGACAGACTTCTTCACACACAGACATTTATTAATTTGCCATGATTATCCACAATTGGCAAATTCCTCTGTCACACCTTGAACTTAGTTTTGTTTGGCAAAGATTATTGATCTTTTCTTTGCAATCTGGTAAGAAAAAAACAGAAAGTAACTATACACAAATTACCTTTTTTTTACACAGTGAAAAAACAACTGACCTATCTACAATTTTTATTGGGAAATAAGTTGTAAAGTACCGAGAAAGTACTGGACAGGGGATTTGTATCAATTATTCAACACCAAGTCTTTTAAAAAACACTTTCCCATGAACATTTGCATCTATATCAAATACCAACAAGAGTCTTTTTTTTTTAATTATACCAAATAAATATTCTTAATCAGAATTTAGCAAAATACTAATTGAGAAAATACATTTTATATTGCCTTACAAAGTCGGAAGATGACTATTTTTTTAAAATAAACCAGTTCATATTT